TCTCTCTCTCTCTCTCTCTCTCTCTCTCTCTCTCTCTCTCTCTCTCTCTCTCTCTCTCTCTCTCTCTCTCTCTCTCGTCGCGACCGTCGTCATCGATCAGTGGCTGTTGAGAAGGCCCTCCGAGAGAGAGACGCGGCAAAAATATTCGGTCGACCACCAGAGAACGACTCGACCGTCCCTCGCACTGGAAACCACCCATACTTGTGCAGAGAGTCCCTCGTACAAGGTCCCATGCCCCAGAGAGGCAGTTAACGGAGACCCAAAATTTCAGCATTTTTTTAATGTTATTTATAAAAAAAACAGAAGCCCTTTTTAACCAAAAATTGCATCATTCCATAGAGTGCACACCATATTAACAAACCAAAAAAAAAGAAGAAAAAAAAAAAAAAGGTTGAAATAATAAGGCAAAAGTGCACTCGAATGACATTCTGGATTGAGCGAATTTTAAGAATTTTTCGCATTTTGGACATGGTTTTATAAGAGGAAATTCCAATGCTCCAAATGAGACCAAATTTGGTGCCCAACAACCTTTAAGTAAGACAAAAACAGGCAAAAAAAAAAAAAAAAAAAACCCCATAAATTTTACCACCAAACCCTAATTTCTGTTTTGGACCCGTTACTCAGGAGCTGAAACTGGGGGTCCCCCATTAAACACGTGTGCCATGAATGTCCAGTCACCCCGTTCGTTAAAACGAACGGGTACTCTTAATAGAATCACAAACAAAATAAAAATAAAGAAAAATTTAAAGAAATAATAAATCTAAAACATATAAGGCAAATCTAAGATAAAAAAACTTAAAAAAAAAAACAAAAAACAAAAAAACAAACTTACCTTGCAATACCAACGGTCGTCCGTTAAAACGGGCGTCAAGACTTTTTAGAGACTTCACTTCAGTTGGCGTCATGTGGCGCTTCGTGTTTAGTTTAGTTTTTTTTTTCCGTTTTTTTTTTTTTTTTTKTTTTYTTCTTATTATCCCGTTGGCTTAAAACCAATGGTCTAATCAAAACGCGTGGCTTCTCAGCCACGCTATGTTGAAATACAGACTGCAGTTCGATCCCGACTGGGATCGTGAAACAATTTGGACCATTTCCTGATTTATGTGTGTCATCCTTGCGCAGGGGTCATGTCAATCTTCACGTGGCGGATTTCTACCGCGCGATCTCAACGATCGTGCGGCTGAAATGGGCGGCGTTCGATTGTCTCCGTGGTGGGCTTTTCCAAAAGGAGCTAGCCCAGTGACATCTTGTCCGGTTCGATCATCCCAGCATTTGTTGGGTGGAAGTCGAATGCAGTGCCTATTAGGCTAGCTCCTTTCACGAGAGCTATAACAACAACTCTTCTACTTGAAGGGCTGCACCCAGCAGGCCTCCTGCCATTCGGCTTGGGCTGGCCCTATCTGCCCCAATCCCTTAACCTATCGCTCTGCCATCTACCCGGCAGGCATTGCAGTTGGGCGGTCCATGACCAGCCTTTAAGTCGTGGGTACGACCTTGGCATTGGCCTGTCGGCCCCCTGGCTCGAAGTCAAACCCGACAAACCCAGAAAATAATTAAAAAAAACTTCCTATTCCCCCTGCGTCGCGGCCCTATACCCGACGCGTCCCTTCTTTTTAGCCCTGTTAGGCTTTGAATCGCACGGCTTAGCAGTCGTGCGACATTATTTTTAGGTAGAATAGGTATAGTTTCAGCATTTCCACGTCAGCGTGCTTCTGTGGCTTTGACAAAAGCGAAGCACTGCCAGTTACTGTCGTTACTCTCGGACACCACAGGCATCCGGACTAGGGTTTTAAAAGTTTTAGTTTCCCGGTCATAGGTCAGGTCTAAATAAAATTTTGACAAACGTTGGTCTCATCAAGTCCTTCAATTCAACGAAAAGAGTCGGACAATGGCCGACGTTTAAAAATCCTCGGCAAATACCCTTGTCAGGGTATTTGCCCCGATAACGGTAAGTTTGACTTAGACTCCTCGGTAAGAAATTAATCTCCAACATTATGTTTACTGCTATGGTAGCTAAAACGCGACCATGTATTAAACGAAGGTAAAAGTGATCCGTATTATTATGCCTCATCCTCAAACTGTTGATATGATAGATATGGCTGTTCTCGCCATTCCGTTCTGTGCGAGTTCACGTTATTGCAGTGATTACCGCGGTGAAGAGGATGTACTACACCGAAATCTTCCCACGGTGCGAAGCCGCTGTTGGACAGGCAATATCGTGGTATCGTACGGCCACAAGCGGTTATCGGGTAGCTGAAAATTCAGGAATGAAAATTATGAAGTGGGAGTTTTTGGCAGTCTGAAAATCCTGAATGGTTCTGAAGTGGTGAAATGTCCGAAGACCCTGAAAACCACCTGTTTAGGCAGGCTGCATCCTGAAGTGGTGAAGGGTGTCCTGAAGTGGTCAAGTGAAAGTTTTGGGCAGTCTAAAAATCCTGAATGATCCTGAAGTGGTGAAAGGTCCGAAGACCATGAAAAC